CTGTTGGTTGAATTTCATTGGTTGGTTCACATCCTCTGTGGCTTCCATTGACCAAAGGATGTATTTAGCATCTGAGTTTATGAAATTATGCCACATTTCCTACCATTTAATGGCTTTCTGGCAAACTAAAAAAAGTGTTATCTGGAAGTTACTAGCAAGATACTTTCACTGGTGTCAATTGTAGTATACAAGGTAATTCACAATTCTGGACAGTTTGCCACAACTTTAGAGTCCCAGATTTCAGTTCTAGAACCACAAGGATTCCAAGCTACTTTTCAGTAAGGAAAATGCTTATTTCAGATTAAAGTTGAGGTAGGACCCCTTTTCTTGGTGTTACCCACTGATTCTACCATCATATATAGCCATGGGGCTCAGCTTAGAGAAGCTTGGGAGTAGAAAAAGAAAGGATCTCATCCATCTCTTGCCCACCTGGTCTATTTATGGTCTTACCCCTTGCCCCACATTAGCTGGTCCCAAATTGGCTCACTTTAATTCACAAACTGTTCGAAAAGTGTTTGTGAGGTTCACAAGAGATTCTAGACACCAGCATTGGATTACTCATTGGTGGTGGTGTATTTAGAAGGCCCAGCAAGAAAAGAACCACAGGAATCTTAGGGCCGGAAACTTTCGGGTAGTCATAGGTAAAGGAGTACAAAATCAGAACAGTTGCATTATGGGAAGGATCAACCCATAGTAACAGAAATCCATAGGCCCTTTATAGAGGAGTAAAGATAGCCAGTGCAAAGGGACAGAAATAAAAAATGGAATATCACTTTGAGGAGGAGTAAGAAAGCCTATGTGGCCTGAATCACAGTGTAAGTGAGGGGAGTAATGTGCAGTAAGACTAGAAAGGTAGTTTGTGACCAGACTGTGAAGAGATTTCAGTGCAAAACTAGAAGTTTATATTTGATCTTTGAAGTAATTGGGAGCCACTGGAGTTCATTGAGTTGAGGAGTAGTTAGACCTGTGCTTTAACAAAAATTCCTTTTTTAATTTCAGCTATAGATCATACCTGAAGCCAAAGTCATCTACATCTTAAACTCAGATTTGCTCTCATATCCCCAGATCAGTTATTTTCATCTCACTGTAAATTCTTTCCTGGAAAGCAATGTCCTTTGACATCATTCTTTACATTCCACCTTACATGGCTGCACCAATCACTCAACAGAGATTTTTCATCACTGATATTTTCTTATTCCTTCTTCATCCCATTCTAAACTCATGGGAACCCATCTTTTTCAGGCACAGAGGAAAGCTGAAAGCCTTGCTGCAGATGTGACCCCTTGATTCGTTCATTTGTTGACAAGGTTCTCCGTTATTTCCCAAGGTCTTTGTATGGCAGGCATAGCTTAATCTCCATCTGGGCAAGTTGGTTTCTACTGTAACTGTTAGTTTTTACAGTTATTGTTGTTTTATTCAGGTCATTAGAGAGGATTCCAGCACCTTTATTTCTTTTAATTACCATGTGCTATAGAGTCCCTTTCTTGTTTGCCTTTTCTGTAGCTGAACATGGACCTTATTCCCATTCAATTATTTTCCTTCCTCCCTTCTCTTTCTTTTTGCTTCTGCCATCCACCATCTTTGGCCTCCTCTGCCTGGCCTACTTTCTTTAATTTGTTCCCCTCTTCCTGGCCTTCTAGCAATTGTTTCCACTCCTTTTCGATGACTTTGTTCCTGGCCTTTTTTATTTTAATTCTTTTTTTTCATGTTTTATGAAATAATTTGCATTTTTATATATTGTCACTCAACAACCATCAATCCATAGTACCCTCCTTTATAACAAACAAACAAACAGAAATCACCAGTTTCAATACCACGTGGTATCAAACAGTTACACAAAACTATTCAATGTCATGTCTACAACTGGTAGAGCATGTAGCATTGGAAAGTGGTTGCACAGTAGATAAAGCATCAAGGCCTGGAGTCAGGAAAACCTGAGTTCAGATCTGCCCTCAGATACTTACAAGATGTGTGACCCTGGGTAAATCACCTAACCTCCATATGCCTCGTCTATAAATTGGGGATCATAGTAGCACCTACCTCAAAGGGGTATTGTGAGAATCACATGAGATAATAATTGTAAAGTGCTTAGCACAGTGCCTGGCAAACAGTGGGCACTAGATAAATGCTAGTTATTGTTATTATTTTGGCTCCACAATCTACCCCCACTAGATGTTTCAACACAAACATCTAGATGGACAGTTCATTTTTTAAAGTAAGACAAGCAGACCTTTTTTTAAACAAAAATTTGAAAATTAACTTTATGATATTTGGTTTCATCACACCAGCAGAGAGAAGAAATACAATCCTCTATCATCCCATTCCTACTGAGGATTAAGAAAGCCACTGTACTAAAGTTGAGCAATAATTGTTGTTTAAAGAACAATCAGAAGGATTTGCTTCACATTGGAGCAGATCAGAAAAAAATGTTCCCTTCTATTCTATTTCTGTGAAATAGAATATTCCCTCCCTATTCTATTTCTGTGAAAAATTGATAGAATGGCAAAAGCCAGTGTAACCAAAATTTCCAATTCCCTAAACAGTAAAGGTTTATAAAGCAGTCTAAGATGATTGGCTGTGTCTCTCCAACAAAGTGGCTGGAATAATGCTTCTGGAATAATGCCTGTGGAAACACACATCTAAGAGGATCTCATGTAATTTTAGATTTCAGTGTTTTTGTTGCTTAGTTGTTTCAGTCATGTCTGACCCCATTTGGGGTTTTCTTGGCAAAGATTCTGGAGTGGTTTGTCATTTCCTTCTCCAGCTCATTTTACAGATGAGGAAATTGAGGCAAACAGGGTTAAGTGACTTGCCCAGGGTCATACAGCTAGTAAGTGTCTGAGGCTGGATTTGAACTGTCTTCTTGATTCCAAACCCAGAGCTCTATCCACTATGCCAGATTTCAGTGTAGAAAAGAGCACTTTAACACTTCTATAACACCCATCAAAAGATGCATCTATACCTTACAAATACAGTAGTATTTATCCTTTCAAAGCTGACATTCCAAATAATTGAAATTATTTGACATATAGTTGCTATTTTAATTACATTAGTAGGGGCAGCTTGGTAGTATAGTGGATAGTGATGGACTTGGAGTCAGAAAAACCTGAGTTTGAATCCTGTCTCCAACATTTATGTTAGCTGACTTAGAGGATCAGAGGATAACAGCTTTAGAACTGGAAGGGTACTTCTTTTGTGACCCTTGGAAGTCATTCATCCTTTCTCAGTCTCAGGTTACTCATCTCTAAAATGGAGTTAATACTATGAAGGGTTGTTAGGAGGATCAAATGAGATAACATATGTAAGGCACTTTGCAATCCTTAAAATGTTATATAAATGCTAGGTATTATCATAATTGTTATTAACATGCTTTGTTATCATGTCTGACTTTTCGTGACCCCATTTGGGGTTTTCTTGGCAAAGAGACTGGAGTGGTCTGCCATTTCCTTTTCTAGCTCATTTTACAGATGAGGAAACTGAGGCAAACAGGGTTAAGTGACTAGCCCAGGGTCACACAGCTAGTAAGTGAGGCCAGATTTGAACTCAGGTCTTCCTGACTTCAAGCCTGGTTCTCTATACACTGTGGCACCTAGCCCATTTTGCTAAATGTATTTAAATAAACATTAATCTGCAAAATGAAGGTGTTGGATTAGATCAGTGGTGTCAAACTCAAATAGAAATCCATCCCTATGGGCTGCATATCAACTTGGAAAACCACAAACTGACATTATCTATGTAGTTAATGTTTTTTTATTTATTTTTTAAAGCATTTCCCAATTACATTTTAATTTTATTTGTCAGCACTAGGGAGTGTCACCAGAGCTTGAGAAGGCATGAGTGAGTTTGATACCTCTGGATTAGCTCACCTGTTTGCCCCTTTTCAGATCTAAGTCTCTGATCTTAAAATGGTAAAAATAATTCTCCGCTGACTAAAACAAAGGGCTGCTGTAACAATAAAAATGAAAGTCCTTTGTGTTACTCTCAAGTGAGGATTGGGGCAGCTAGGTGGGGTAGTGGAGAGAGTACTGGCCTGGAGGACTCATCTTTCTGAGTTCAAATCTGGCCTCAGGCACTTACTAGCTCTGTGATCCGGGGCAAGTCACTTAACCCTGTTTGCCTTGGTTTCCCCACCTGTAAAATGAGTTGGAGAAGGAAATGGCAAATCACTCCAGTATCTTTGCCAAGAAAACCCTCTATGGGGTCACGAAGAGTCAGATATGATTGAAGAACCACCAAAACAACAAAAACAACAAAAGTGGCATAGTGGATAGAGTATTGGATTTAAATCCTGCCTCAAATACTACTGACCCTAAACAAGTCCTTTCACTACATTTCTGAACCTAAGTTTCCTCATCTATAAAAGGAGGGAGTTGGACTATGGGGCCTTTAAGATCCCTTCCAGCTATTATCCTCTGATCTTGTAAGTCATCTAATGTCTCTGGGCCTCATTTTCTCTGCAAAGTGAAGAGGTTGGACTAGATTACTTCTATGGTTGTTTCCAACTCCGAATCTGTGCTCCTAGATCCATGCTTCAATAGATGATTTGCTGTGACCCAACGAAAGTCATCACTTGAGAACAGTCTTTCTGGTGATGAACCTTTCATCACTTAGCTGGCTGATCCTTAGATCACAGACCCAGAGCTCCTCTCGAGGCCAATCCTTTCTGGGTTGGTAAGATCCAATAAAACCTGCTTTCTGCTTGTATAGCCTTCAAGGTCACCCAGGGTAACCGCCAAGCTACAGAGAAGCACCAGAGCTGGACTTGAGTGGAATAATTTAATTTATTAAAGTAATTTTAATTCTCAATTTGTGTTATTGACTAACTATGACTTCAAATCACAATTCAGAATTTATTTGACTATGTTGATTTTGTTCCAAAGTTTAACTGTGCTTTTTTTATTAATTATTGGTTTTCTTCCTCTTTTTCTCTTTTCTGCTTTTCCTTCCTCTCCTCTCCTCTCCCCAAACCTCAAATCCTTTCTTTTCCTCATTAAATATAGGGAGTGAGTTTTCTGGAAGTCCTTATAGCCACCCACAGTATTCAACATACAATGATTCCTGGAGATTTCCCAACCCTGGGCTGCTAGGTGAGTACTGGTTAAAACCTTCTTGGACTTCCCATTGTACCACAGGTCTGCCTCCTTCCAGACAGGTACCATTCTCCTCCATGCATTATGTTAACATTTGATGCTCTATAAACCCACTTCTAAAATAATAGAAACTATTTTCTCCAATCAATGGTCATAAAAATTACCCCATAGTCTATTGTAGACAATATAATAATGATAGGTCAACTGTGAGGAGTCACCTAATATCCTAGAATGCAAAGGAATAGTCATATACTACCTGAGGGAGAGCTTCAAGTGGGGAAAGAGAATCTGGACTGGCTTTTCACTCCTAAACAAACTCTGACTGTGTGTCCCAATCCTGGCTATATGCCTTCAATAGCAATCAGATGCCCCAACTCGGACCATCATCATAATGCACCTTTTATAGCACCTTCAGGCTTTCCTTACCATAACTCTGTGAAATAGGTGGTAGAACTAACGTTATCTTCATTTTATAGATGAAAAAATTAAGGTTCAGAAAGGTTGTGAATTGTTCAGAATCACATAGCTAGGAGAAGTCAGAAGTAGAATTCAAATCCAGGTCTCTAGATTCCCAAGTCTAGCACTGTTTGTAATGTACCAAACCATTTCTGTGTTTGTGTGCCCCAATGGTGACCATTCTTTCCTTCTTCCTTCCTCCCCTCCCTTCCCCCAAACCCAGTCAATCTACTTTGGCCATTATAGGATAGAGGAGAAACAGAAGAAATGGTTAGGAGGAAAATAGGAGCTGAAGATGAGAAGGAAAGGCAGAAGGGATAGTGTAGTATGGTTTGCACTTCCTCAAAAGAATCACCTGCTCTCAGAGGCAGCATCATTTCTCTTTCCCCATCCACCCTCTCATCTGCATTGAATTATCAAGTGCTGATGGAGAGACAGAGATGGACGAATAAGACTCTCTCTTATAATAGTTACTATAAGCATTACAATAATTGGTCCAGATCTGTCCGACTCCCAGGGATGAGGGAAGCCCTCTGGAGGATGGCAAAATCTTAGAAATAATATGTCAATGATATTACTTCTAGGGAGGACTGAACAGCTCCAAGTATGCTGAATTTAGCAATGGTTCCTAGAATTCTGATAATTCTAGTAAGGAGGAAGTAAGGAGATAAAGTTATCATTTTTCTCCAAGGTCTCATTTAGAAGCAAATTTCTCCCAGTAGTTAGAGTTCTTCTAAAGTCCCCATGGTCTATCCAGAGATGTCAAACTGGGCCATATATGACAGCAAAACTTTTTAATGTTCCAGAATCAGATTAAAATGTAAATGGGAACAAAGTAAGTAAAACTATAATACAACATAGGTAATGTTAATTTGTGGTTTTCTAAGTCAATACACAATAGCCAGAATCTGTTTCTATTTGAGTTTGATACCACTGGTCTAGACATGTGTGTCCAGGGACAACCCAGCAGTGAGTGAGTGCCTTGGAGTTGGGTAAGAAACCTGTGGTCTTCCTTGCATGAAGAATCAGCAGCCACTGGATATATGTGGTAGGTCAGCCCTATCCAGTGAATATCAAAGTTAAGTTTCTTCCTATCAAATAAGTACAGCCATTTAGGTTTCTTCATTTAAATAATGGTGATGATGATGATGTTAATAACATTAATCCAATAAAACTCAAATGAGAAAAAAAAGTTAATTTCCTGGATACGTAATTACTTTATTACTGAAAACAATGTAATCACCAGGGATTCAAAGAAAAGACACTCTGAGGGGACTGATACTCAACTTAAGATCATTCTTTTTACACATCAGTTGCTTATGACTGAAGCCAGAAGCAGATTATTCTCCACATATAATGTTACTCTCCTTGTCTTGCCAATACTAACCCACTAGGGTCCAATTTATGCATGTTTCTTAATACGTATCTCAGCATAGACATGATATAAAGGATAAATATAATCCATTTTAACTGCTGTGGCCTCTTTTGACCTTATATTGAACATAAAAAATAAGATTTTGTTGCATAACTTGCATAGATGAGATAAGGAATTAACTGTCACGAATATAGTGCTTTAGCATTTTCCGTTTTTATAGAAGACAAGGCTATTACCATATGTGACTTCCATTAGTGAAATATTTTTATTCATCTTTTAAGTTTTTTTTGATTGTTTGTTTGAAGTGAAATGATCTCTAAACAACTGTACCAGCAGACTTGACTAATCAGGATTCTTTCCCTTAAACAAACCACTTTGCAACTAATAGGCTACTCAGCCATTTTAATATTCTGCATTAGAAATGACCTTCCCAGGGAGCTGGAGTTATGGGTCCACGAGTAGTCATAAGTTTTCAGGAATGAGCAGAGCTAAGAATTGGTTTGTTTGATGACTTTAACTGAATATTATCTCCCCAATCCAGCTCTCCAGAAGGAAATTGCACTTTTGGCAAAATGTTGTCTTTTCCTCCTCATACATTGTTGTGTATAGTTCTGATCAGACTTAACCAGATAGATAGTTCTGGTTAAAATCAATCCAAGTTTCATAGAATTTAAACCTCACTATCTACTCCAACCTTCCTCATTTTACAGATAAAGAAACTGAGACCAAGAGAAGCTAAGTGATTTTCCAAAGGTCACACATAGACTAGATGGCAGAGACCAGATTTGAACTTGGGTCCTCTGTTTTTAAATTCAGAGTTCACTCCACTGTAACATACTGTCTAAGGGGATTCCCCATTTGTGTTTTCAGTCACATCCAGACTTCTGGGATATTGTGTCTGATTTTGGACAGGTTACATCTGAGGTATTGCATTTCTTTAGGGTTGGAGCACTTTTGGAGTATTATGTCAGGTTCTAGCCCAACCATTGTTAGGAGTATAGTATCCAGTTCATTTCAACTCCATTTAATTTAATAAGCATTTAGTAAGCACCAACTATGTGCCAGGGAAGGGGAAGGGAATGAACATTTATATAATGCCTACTACATGCCAGGAACTGTGCTAAGTGATTTTTATAAATATTATCTCATTTGATCTTCAGAATAACCCTGTGAGGTAGGTGCTGCAATTATTCCCATTTTACAGATGAGGAAACTGAGGCAAGCAGAGGTTAAGTGACTTGCCTAGGCTAGTAAGTGTCTGAGGTCAGATTTAAATGCAGGTCTTCCTCACTTCAGGCCCAGTGCCCTAACTACCGCCCCACCAGTTCCCTCCATAATATGCTAGGTTCTGGAAATACAAAAACAAAAACAAAATAGTCCTTACACTCAAGGAACTATACATTATTAGAAGGAAAGCACCACATACACAAATAAGTAAATAAAAATAAATAAATAAATAAATATAATAAACTTTTGGTGTGAAGTGAGTAGGCAAGGGAGTCACTAACAAAGTGGGAAATCAGAAAAAGACTCTTATAGAACTATGGGAAGACTTGGGTCAAGCCTTTCTTTACCCATCGGCTCCTTACCTACTCACTATATATATATAGGTCCAGATCTTCTATATCCCCTGCCTTCCTCTTTCTGTTACATTATGCTCCTTTAGGTTGTCACTGAGCTTGTTGTCCACTAAACCTCAGATCTTTTTAAAATAAAAACTACTGCCATTCCATTTTATAATTTTGAAGTTTATTTCTTGTATACAAGTATATGACTCTGAGGCAGCTAGGTAGTGCAGTGGATAGAGCACTTGGATTAGAGTCAGGACTCTATCTTCTCCTCATCCCCTTCCTCCTCCTTCTCCTCCTCCTTCTCTCATTTATACTTCTCCGATCCTATAGTACCTCTCCCCTTCTCTGTGATCTTTTGAAGCTCAACAACCAAACCTGTCTGTTCTTTTGGTAGCTATGACAAAATTCATCCAGGTCTGGTGACTTGAACCCATCATTGGCAGTGACCAACTGTCTATGAACCATTTTGATTCTGCCCTCTACAGGTCAAAGATCATCTCATTCCACCCCCCCTGAAGTGAAATCCTCTACCTTCTCTGATCTTCCTCTTTTATCCAATATAGCTTAAACAATCTATTTTGTTGCCCTTAGCTTTTCTTGCCAGCCTCAGCTTAAATTCTAATATTTAGCACTTCTGACGTGTTTTACAGGACCATACCATGTTCTTGCTCCTGACTATGCTTCTATCTTCTCTACATAATGTTTTTTTAATTTTATCTAAGTTGGCTTAGGAGTTTCTCGTGTATCCTTTTTGGTCTCTTTAGATCACTCTTTATTTCTTTCCTCATCCAAATCATTTCCCTTTGTGAGTACAGAATTTCATTCATGAGGGCAACGCATCTCTATTGGGTTGACTTCCTCTCTAGTGTTTCGGCCAATAGAGTCCTACCTGTCCTTTCTCTTAATTAGTCAGTCAGGTTTCAAGATTTTTCATAGAATCAAAGAGATTTCAAGATCTGTCATAAATTTTAGGGTGCATGTCAAATTAGGCCTTGCTTTCTTTTCCTTCTCCTTCCCCAAATTCTAAAGTGGGGTAACCATGTGTCTTTCAAGGTTGTCATCATTTTAATGCCAGCAACAAATTCTATCTTATTTATGAAAATAAGATTAGAATTGAAGTTCCCCTCATTGGTTTCTGTACCTTTTGAAGAATGAAATTATATTAAAAGCAAAGGAACATTATTTTGTTATTAATATTATTAAAGGTAATATTTATAAACTAGCTATTCAGCTTGGGGCAGAGAGGAGACATCCAGAAGACATCGAGATAATTGAAGATTCCACTCCATGACAAACTAGTGTTCTATTTCTCAAACTTTTTATCTATTTCCTCTTTTTGAAAAAATTAATTTAATATTTTTAATTAAGAAACATTTATTTTTCTTTCCCTCCCACCCACTCCCTCTACACACTGGTAAAGCCAAACGAAACAGATCCCATATAACAAATAAGCATCGTCAAACAAAACAAATTTTCATATTGGCCATATCCAAAAACATGTGTCTCATTCTGAATATTTAGTCTACCACTTTTCTATCAAGTGGTATGTAACATTCTTTACCATTTGTCCTCTTGAATCATGGCTAGTCATTACA